CATGGGAGGAGGACCGTCAAAGCGGCAGCGACCCCTATGGCTTTAAAAAAAAGAAAGATACCGAATAGCCCCGAACTCTGGTCCGGCATAATGCCCAATCATCTCGACGGCTGCTCACAGCTGCTCCCTGTTCTCTGATCCCAGAATCGAGATCCACGATCCCAATCCATTGTCCTCGTCTTCCGCTGAGTCTTGCAGCCATAAAAGTTTATGGCAGCCAAGAAAAGTAACGAAACATTCAAACTTTTTCTGCCGTTAACGAAGCCTCCTTCCTTCTCTTTCGATCCCTGATCAATTCCCAGTGGAGTGGACGTTGTATGTCTCTATTAGCGACGACAATGGCGAACGATGGGCAGCATCCACCGGAGACGGCCTGCAAAAGATTATAAATTTTACACCATATACGTCATACAAAAATGGGTGTACTTATAAACAGAGGGAAATAATATCTACTTATTCATTCCTAAAATTAAATTCTTTAAGTATTATGTATGTGACCTTATGTGATCTTATAAGATGAAAAAAAATAATAAAAAAGACATATATATTAAAATGTTACAAAAAAATGTCGTTCTTCAGATCGATGTTTTCGGTTATTATATCAATATAACTCAAGATATCTCTCGCAGTGCACATATATAAAAATATCGAGGTAGACATTATCAGTCCAATCAAGCTGTTCCCAAAAGAAGTTCCCCGAACTGATGAATCCCTCTCTAGTTGCGCCCATGCCTTTCCTCTTTTTTGTGTACACATCTTTGACTTTTATGCATTTATTGCTGTGAAAAAATGTTAATTCTTGACGTTATACTTTTATTTGACTTTTACATTTCGATCTTCTGAGATCTTCATTGGACCATACATAGTTGACTCTTTGGTCATCCATATATTCGACTGGGTAAATTGGTTGATTCGCTTCAGACTCATCTACTATGTATTAATTGGTCAAAGGCTGTAAAACGGAGAGCACAATAAATCAATTGTCAAGAGAGACTTTTGGGGAAAGAAAAGGGAGTGGCTTTAAAGAGAAAAAACATATGCTGAAGAATTAAAGATTTTCTATAAATTTAATTTTCACTGCAGTTTTTTTAAGTTAATATAGTATAATTGATCATTTTAACTTACATTATGAAGTAATAAAGCAAGTTTTAAATTTAATCTACCACTATATTTATAAACCAAACGCCAAAAATATGACCATTCTTATAGCAAATTTATGGATTGTCTTTAAAAATTTCGATTATTTTCTCTTATCGCTTTGTCAGTTTCTAAATATAGTATTCATTCATTAAAAATAATGTTGATCTCTTTTTGTTATTATAATTTATTATTTTAAAATGTGTATAACATATATTGTTTCTAATGCCAATATTATTTTTATTTGTTTTTATAAATAACGTTAAATTAACAAAACTAAATCTTATGTCTTTAACCATACCAAAGTTATTATTAAAATTAGAATTATAAAAAAAACTATTCATTTAACTAATATGACATAATAATATTAATATGACATAATTAACCAACTCAAAATCATAAACAAAAAGCCATTTAGTTTCCGCTCAAGTCCAAACTGAGATCTATATTTCTCCGCTTTAAGGCTAAGCCAAAGATCCATCCGGTTATGGTTTTTACTTGGCTGCCTTTCGGTTTCAAGTTCAGATTGGATAGGATCGGATCGACCGGAGACAGTTTGTGCCTATTGTGTGCGGGAGTTTGATTAACACAATATCCACTGACCAAAAACTTTATTAGTGACCATGCACTAATTAAGCTCTGTCGAGTGATTTCGGGTTCGCATTCGTTCGCGTTTGTCACTCGATGCAAATGAATCGCGTCTCTGTGGAGCAGAAGATCATAAAAGCCGCTAAAAGGTGTGGGCGAGAAAAGGAAAACAAAACCCAGAGCCAGCGAGCAATTCTTTTGTTGATCGAATTGATTAGAGCTGCGGACGAGCTCGATATATATTTTGAATATTCGTTGCTGCCCCGGCGAGGGTGTAATTAATCACAACACTCAAGTTCGTCACTTGACCAAAGTGCTAAACGCGCTAATAAAACAAATTTACATAGACCAAATTTTACTTATCAATACGGTATTGACGTTGGACCATCAGTCATTAAGAAATGGTTCATTTTTCAAAACACAAAATAATGTAAAAAGGATTTCTTCTGAAGACAAAATGAATAACTCAAAAACTAGAAAAATACGAAGCTTTATTTGTAAACAATTTACATATTTGTATTACTCTCTTTATTTCTGGTTTGCTTTGTTACATCCGTTACTCGTAGAGTAAAAGGTTATATTGTATTCGTGCAAAAGTATGTAACAGCTAGAAGGAAGCTTTTCCGACCCTATAAAGTATATACACCACCAAAATAATACTTATTATTTTGACCAGTAGTGTATATTCTCGATCAGGGTCACTATCCGAGTCGATATAGCCATGTCCGTCTGTCCGTCTGTCTGTCTGTATGAACGCTGAGATCTTGGAAACTACAAAAGCTAGAAGGTTGAGATTTCCCACACATATTCTTGGGCTTCCTAAGCAACGCAAGTTTATTTCAGCCGAGTGCCACGCCCCCTCCAACGCCCACAATCGCCCACTAACGATTTTAAAATGTGTCTGGCGCCCACACCTTTAAAAATTTCCGAGAAGTATAAATGCAATTTTTTTGTGTATATTTATACCTATCGAAATGTAGAAGACATTTTTCAAATCGGACCATTCGTTAAAAAGTTATGCCCCTTCAAAGTTTTATATCTCCATATCCCCCTTTAGCTGAGTAACTCTGATAGTTAGGGCATTTGAATATAGCGTTCTCTCTTGTTTTTTGTCGAAAGGTACCAGTCCGAGACAAGTTGCTTTCTTACTAGTTTTGTATTATTATTTTTTCGACTAGCACAAATTTTCTAGATCCTGTGTAGTCTACATGCATCCAGACAAAATCCGGTTGCTTTATACTTGTTGTACAACCAGTTGCTTTTCAGACTAGTTCGCATTTTTCCTGCAGGGTGTTTATTCAAAGTCAAAGAATAATAGTTATATTTTAACCAAAAAATCTTAATTACAAAATCTGATCTGTTATGTTCTTATGGTGGCAATTTGTACTTACCTTTATACGTGAATTCTTTAATACAACTACACGACGTATTCTTGAGAGCAAAATTAACCAATGGTTGACCACTTTATGAAAGTAACTACATATATTTTTAATTTTTTTGTATTAGTAATAAATTTTTACATAGGTAATTTCTTTGGTTCCACGACTAATAACTCCAGTAGGTTACCAGAAAACTAAGCAAATGTCCTGTACCTTTCTTATCAAAATTTAAATTTAAATTTAGCGCCTTCACTCTTCAAGTATACGGTTCAAGTCCGGGATAAGTAAGATGTCAAGTAAAAAAGACCAGTATGTGCTCAAATGTCTAGCCATTCCCGCTACCATTGTTCGTGTCCGAGCTAAATGTGTATCAAAGTTTCTAATCGCGTAATCGATGAAGAAAATTAATCGATTTTGACCGGAAACATCGATAGAATCATATAAGCATCGATTGTTCTTCCACCTCTATTTCACACGGAATTTGTTTGTCATTCAACAAGATTTTTGTAAATCACTCGATTTGCCTTCGAAAAGCCTGAAATCCCCCAAAGTAGTGACAAGATGGTGAGTACCTGGGATGGTCCAGTTAACGACGTTGCTAATAAAGTGATAATTCCCTGCAATGCAGTACCAGCCATCCCTGAAAGTTCAGCCCGCGGAGGTGTCCGTGCTGAATGCCACCGGCCGTGTGGGAATGCCCACGGAGGCCAACTGCCTGAACCAATTGGCCCACGTCCACCGGCTGCGCGACTCGGAGCTGAACTACAACGAGCACCAGTACAACCTCAACATGCAGATGCTGCGCAACCGCGAGGGACTCGGCGTGCCCCTCAAAATGGGAATGGAGCGCTTCGCCGCCCGCCAGGTGGGCCGCCTGCCCTTCCTTCCGTCCAGGTGAGCGATTGGTTATCTCAGGGAATGCCTCTAAGCTCGGAGGAAACCTTTACTATCCCATGGAACCATATATTTATACATGTAACACCCATCCTAAACTAAGGAATCCCTTTCAAATTAATCTCTGGTGATAACTCACAAGAAACAATACCGCTCCTAAGATCTGTGATACCATTATAATACCCTTACAGAGGGTACATAGTTTTAATCAGAAGCTTGCATTGCAGTGAAGGAGACGTTTCCAGCACTATAAAGTTAATATATTATTGATCAGGATCACTGGGGAAGTCGATAAAACCATGTCCGTCTGTTCCAATACCGTTTGCAAGCTCAGTTTAAAAGCTAGCGATCTGAAACAGTGTACGCAGATCAAGTTTAAAAAGCGCCCCGACCGGACGTCTATATCCTATAGTTCCCAAAGGAACAATCGGATATAACTTGACAAAAATGTAATATATTTCCCGTAGTATAAAAGCTATTAAGATAAATATATTCAAGTCTTCTTTATTTTATGCCTACCTTGATCAGAGTAAATGCTCGTGCCGATCGGACGTCTATATTCTATAGCTCCCATAGAAACCATAGGTTGAAGTAGGCCAAAAATTTATGTTTTTCAAGATATTTCGCGCAGTATAAACTAAACTAAACTAACCTTTAATACATTCCTTACTTATGACTTTGGTTTTAAGCTTTGTTTAATTATTACGTAATCCATATGGTATTACCATACTTATTTCTCAATTATATCTTCCAGCAACTTCATGGACGATGTCCTGACTGGCCGCGTTGACTCCATTGGCTTCGAGGACTTTATGAACATCCCTGAGTACAGCGAGCAGATGCGTCAGCCCCACGCTGTGGTGGAGAAATCTCTTGGAATTCACCTATAAATCTTCTTTAATATAGTTGCTTAAATGCCTGGCATTCAACATATACATTCTAACACTTTAAATTCAGCAAATAAAACTTATTTTGGTGCCCCGGATAAAAACAACGTGTTCCACCATTTCTTTGAGCCAAATTTATTCGTATTTTATTTGTTTTACTTCACATCGATATTCAACTAGTTCGTTAAACTTATACATTTTATTCAAACAAGTCTAAAAACTACTAGAAATATTGGCAGAAAGGATTGTACTGAGGAGATTCGTTAAAATAATAAACTGAAGAGATATGCGTCGACATAAATGTATATGTTCGTATAAATAAAACAATAAGAGATTGTAAAATGGACGAATTCGTTTCGTAAAATTAGACTTAGGCTTAAGGAAAACTGAATTGTAAACGGAGGGCGCATTTCAAATTATACAAAACATTGCATATATACATAATTGATATTTAAAGAGGAAAATAACAGTAATTGATGTGGGAATTAACAGATTTCATATTCAAGACACAGCACCTTCTTGACAAAAAGACTTTAATCAACAGGAAGCAGTATTGATAATTTTAGTTTTATATGCTTTTCGTAAGATTTAAATTGTGCTGCGATTTAAGCTTCAATTACTGGAATAATCCCTTTTGCTGTGATGATAGGCAATAGATTTTAGCTGTATATATTTTCTCTATATGCAAGAATGCGAAGTTGCAATAGCTTATGTGTAAAGTTTCGTTTTTAGTAGATCCAATTGACAGGCACCCACTGCTCCTCGTGGCTCATCTGGTCCAGAGTTTCCACCACCTGACGGAACGTCTCATCGAAGTCCTCGTTCACGATGACCATGTCGAAGTACTTTTCGTATTTCCGCTGGACAAAGCTGCTCTCCTCGACGGTGGCGACCAGATCGTCGTCCTGTTCAAAATAGCCATACAAATCGAATGTGTTAAGCAATGTCTGGGTATTCAGGCAGAGATCTAAGAGGGCTACTAGGGTGGCCTAAGTGCGCCAAGCGGATGAGTGATTTGATCACATTTTATAGGTATTTGTTTGAAGGATAGGTCTGGAAACTTTACCTCATACAACGATGCTAGGGACTCGAGCGTTCGGGCGCGTCTGGAGCTGAATCTTATGGAACTCTGGCGATCAAACTGTGGAATACGTGCTCGGATTAAAGGAGTGCCTAATCTAAGGGTTCAACGTCAAACATACAGATAGATTCCTATTGGAGCCCGTGGCCCGGCGATCTGCATAGATGGTCTTGAGCTGTTCCATGCCCGGTGCTGCCACAAAGATAACGAATGGCATCAGTTCCTGGCTATTGTGCAGGATCTTCAGCGCATTCGGTGCACAGTCCAGGATGCACATGCGCCCACTATTGATCACATCCTTGATGGACTGCAAGTGGGTGCCGTACAGGTTGCCATTGTGCTCGCCATACTCCAGAAACTCGTTGTTCCTCACGGCCTCGTCCATTTCCTCGCGGTCCATGAACCAATAGCTCGTTCCGTTCTCCTCCAAGGCGCGCTTGGGACGACTGGTATCTAAAATAAATAATTTAAATATTATAGTTGTAGTTTGAATTGAGTTTGTAAAAATAATTAACAAAGTGTACTGAATAATAAATTTTATGATTTTATGGTGAGAAAATTACTAATGAAAATTCTTGTTTCAAGGTCAGAAATCCCTTAAAATATTTTCAATAGTACTTACGTGGAATAACAGCTCCGAACTTGTCCACATCGCTGTTGATCAGGCGATTCTTAAGCGTACGCCTTCCCACTCCAGAAACGCCAATGAGGACCAGGGTTTTCCTGCGGAAGGGCGGCATCCGGGTGACCTCCTCATAAAGTAGCAATTCCGCCTTGTCGAACTCACAATTGGCCACCGATCGGTACATGGTCTTGCGCTTTCGCTTCGAGATCTATTTGGTAATATTATTATATTTATATATTATATTTTAGGGTTATATAGAAGAACTAACCCTTGTCCCGCAAATGCCAATTTTGTGAACATAATCCGCTTCGGGGGCCACAAAAGCTTTGCGTCGCTCCTCCAACTCTTGGGATGGTATAAGACCAATTTTTTCCGATTCGGCAGTAATATTCTTGGCCTGCCACCAGTTGGGATCTTTGACATTGATGATCTTTAATAAGAAAAAAATATAAAAAAAAGTTACAACTATTTTAAAAGGTTTCTTTATGGCACAGCTCACCTGCAAGATATCACCCGATTTGAAGGGCAGTCCAATGTCCCTGCATGGCAGCAATGAATCCTCCGAGGGATTGTATGTGAACAGCGCACGCATATAGCACTAATAATAAAACCAAACGTTAAAATGTAAAAATATTTTTAAATTATAAGGGACTTATGTATGCTAAACCAAGATTTACTTACTTAGTTGCAAGCGGTTGGAGAATTTTGAAGGGAATGCGTTCTTAGACTGACTAGTATTTACTTATTAAAAAAAAGTCTTCAGGTGTTTAAACAGATGTAGATATTGTTTTTGTATTGTTCTTGTAAAATTTTTTACTAATAATACTTATAACAAAATTTTAATACTTAATGCAATACAAATCAAAAAAATCAAATGCAATACAATAAAAAACATGTAATTTAGTAAGAGGCGATTAAAAAAATAAGTTCTGATAATTCTAATTCCATTCTTTGAACTTTGCCTGAATTATAAAACAAACTAATCAAAATTCATGCAAGCAAGCAGCAATCCTTGGGAAGAAATCTTCAAGCAGACATCGAACTTACCGTCAGTTTCTTGCCCGTCTCGAGACCCGCGATGCCATTCTGTTTTACCTGACCCCCACTCACAGTGTAGCGACCGCTCTTGATCTCCTCGTCCACATTGGGTCCGATCTTCAGGGTGAGATTCTCCTTGGCCCGCGACACCTCCACCTGCAGCTCATCGGGGGTGCGAACCGGGGTGCCGTTCACCTCCAGGATGACATCGCCCACATGCAGCATGCTCTGTTTATCGATCACCCCGCCTGCCAGAATCCTGGCCACTACTAATTGCTTGAACTCATCCAGTTCGACGGTCAGGCCGAGGGGCTTGCTGGGATCTCGGCGCAGACCCACCATCTTGATGGTCTCCACGGGCATCTTGGTGCTGAGAATGTCCTCGGTGAACAGGTAGCCACCCGATTGGCGTTGACTGGCGATCTCTAGTAGAGTGGTGGATCCGCCGGCAGCTTTCAGTCGTTGCTCGTAGAGTGCTCCTATCTCATCATGGGCACGCAAAAGGGCCTAGAATAGACAATCAGGATGATTAAAGACTTTGGATTTACTATGGTTAAAATAACAATCTGGATGAGATTAATATGACTGTATTGCCTTTTTTAATTTTAAATTAATTGTTTTTAATTATTGCTCATAATTGCTCATAACTTTTTAATGGATTGTCCGGTTTTAAAATTTCTTCTACATTTCAATACGTATTAATAAACACAACCAAATGGCATTTACACTTTTACAAAATCTGTAAAGATGTGGGCGCCCGGCTTTCTTAAAAGTCCTTTAAAGCGACTGTGGTCGTTAGAGTGGGATATTCCTCGGGATATTTAAACATAATAAATTCAAAAGACAATCTAGAATAGCGGCGAATCGTTAAAGGATGATTTACAATCACTTTTAGTGAGAGTGGAGAAAGGCTTTTCCAGTGACTTTCCTAGGTTACTTACACGAAAATGCGGTTGGGCGAGAAGCTTGGCGAGCTCTCGCGACTCCAGACGCCTCGAGGGTGAGAACTTGCGGATAATGTCGTCGCAGATCGGCTTGTTGTTCAGATGAGCGGGCAGGAATAATGGCACTGGCTGCGGCTCGGTCGAATTCAGCTGGGAAAAGACGAAAAGTGAAGACTTTGTCATGTACGTCTAATTAAATTCAGTGCTTCGTCTGGGGCGTGCCTGCCCTAGGTCAAGTTATGATGCCTCCGGCTTAATTGAGTGAGTGCGTTAATTGGTTCCAGCTTTTTTTGGGAAGCCATCTCTCTCTGTTTCTCCTCCTCTGTACATCTTTGCCATTTAACCCCGGGTGAACTCTCCGCTGACAACAGAATATTTGGAGTCTTAGGTCAAAAATTAGGTCGCTTGCCATTTGAATTTGGGTCGCATGGAAAGTGAGTTTTCTGCTTTAATTGCACATAATTTCGTCTTCCGGCATTATTTGTTCCCTGTCTACAGGCTTTGTTATTCTCTCGCATCTTGTATTTATTATTCTGGCCCATCGGCGGTTTCCGCCCACGATGGGAAAGTCATCTGAGTCAACGGCAAACTCATGCAATATTTATGTATATTTAATGTGGGAGTGCTTTTCTCTTTTGCTCTCTGCAAACTGACGGGAAACACTATCTCCGGAGATTTGATAAGCGAAAGGCGAGAAAAAATGCATTCTCTATAAGAACTCTATTCTGGGAAAATGGTCTGTATGTTTGTCTCAATCAAATTGAATGGAATGTTAGGAATTTCAAGCTAAGCGTGGAAGATTACGACAGATATCACTTTTATTTATTTTACAATATATTATTATGGAATTATAAGTAATTAAAATTTTAAAGAAAATATCATCTTTAATTTTTTAATGTTTTAAGGTACCTATTGAACGATTTTATGTCTTAGAAATTTAAAGTAAACTTCCTTTATAGATCTTCATCTCTAGCGAGTTCTCCATTTCATGCATGACTAATCCTTTTGCTTATTTATTTAATTATCGAACCGTCGAGGATCGTATTTCTGCCGAGTTCTGTGGGTTTAACTTCAGCTCAGCCCTTTTCCGTGTGAAAAATTGTGAAGAAGCCCCACGCGACAGACAATCCCCACCCTTTTTTCACACACACCCACAATTGTTATTGATACTTTGGCTTAGGGCTTTCACCTCCACTCAGCAAAATGTTTTCGTCATGACAGCGTCAGTTTAAAAATTGCCTCAAAATATAACGTACCGCAACAGGTGCTTACTAATTAAGCAAGCTGATAATTAGACACACACAAAAAACACGTAAACAAGTACGGAATTTGTTTTATTTTTCGAAGGCCAACAGTGGCAGCGAAATTTTTAACCTAAAATAAGCTAAACGAGTTGATTAAGTTATAAGTTTTTAGGGCCATTACGTTTTCAATTACATTTACAGTTGGTAATATTTTTATTTGACTTTTATATCTATTTTTTCTTTATTTTTTGGAGCCACTCCCAAAGCGCTAGTGAGCGTTTAAAGCCAAGAGCGAGCGGCTATATCGGTGTGTATGTGAGAGAGCCTCTCATTTCAGAGTTTCAAAACGTTGGTAGTATGGAGTTTTGGGTTTTTTGGAAATGCCAAAACATGGCCAAGACTGTTAACTGTTGTTGGCCAGGTTACAAAACAGTTCTCGGCGACTACGTCATCAATTTAAGCTCGGAAAAGCTTCTCACAGCGGGGTTACCAAGGCACTAGCACAACACACTAATAACTGCTCTAGTTTTTCGTGTTCACAGTATTATTGATTGGTTTTTTATTAGCACCTTCAGATGGGTTTTCAAAACTCGACGTTTTTCGATTGAATTTGGAAAAACGTTTGTAGAGAGTCAGAGAGAGGAACCAACAAACTGTTGCCTTTTGGCTTAAAGCGAAGCCGCCCCGTTTAAGCCACGCTCACAAACACCACCGCGCAAGCACCAATACAGTCAAGCACCAGTGCTCACTCACTCGAATGGAATTGAAAAGACCGAAGCGCGCGTTTTTAAACCGGAATCTAGACCTCACCTCAGCACTGCTCGAAAGTAACTGACTCACAAGCTCTGGAAACAAACGGCGAGAGCTAGTGAGCGAGCTAGGGCTAGGTGTTGCCGTCTCTTTCGCTCGCTCGCTGGCTTGCCGTGTAAGAAAGCTCAGTGTGAGCCAAGTTACAACTGTACGCAGCCTGTTATCTACATGTTAGCTCGCACTTAACAGTGGCTTAAATGTCAAACTTGCGCTAACATTTCTGTTGAGACTATCAGTCAGAAAAAATCCTACTTCCGTAATAAAAAGAAACGTCTTCAATGATTTAATACCTTTTGAACGGTAATAAACTTAAATAATTGAGTTAATGCTGGCATTTTGGAAAAAAATCCTAAAGGAATATCTTAATGAAGATTGCCAAGAATCAAGTCATATTACGAGAGAATATAACTTCAAATTTTTAGAGGTTTAAATTTATATGACAAAGAACCAATATTAATGAATCACTTTAAATTGTAAGAAAACAAAACTTTGAAATTATAAAAATATGATTAAATTTTGTCCCTAATAGATTTGCATACCTTAACAGATCTCAGCGTTGCTACCAATTACTTTAGTGATCTTAACAGCATCTGAAATCTTTTTCAATCTTGGCTGCCAAGCTATTCGCTCTTTTTTACCTCCCATAAGTTTCTCGTACTCCCAGCCACAGCTGCATTAGTAGGCCAACAAGTTAAGCGCTTTTTGTGCATCGTTTTCGAGCTCAGGTAACATAAAAAGCGTCGTGTTTACGTTGGAAATATGTTTTCAAACCGGTTTCTTATTCACACTCAAATACACACAACTTCTTTGGGGCGTTGATGTCAAAGAGTTGACCATGCCACTTGTGCCGCATTTTATGTAATCTACATAAAATGGGGGAGTGTTCGAAGGAGCGGCGACGACAGGAGAGTTGGGGTAATCGAAAAAAGGAATTGGTAAGTGACATTTCATATTTTCTTATCTCGTGACTCGTAGGTTTAATTACTTTCACTGCCTTTCTCAACAGCCGCCAACCGCAGCATAAAAACCACAATCGAATGAACCTGCCCAGGAAAATACCTCAGAAAATGTTGGATTCTAATTATCCGCGTCACGCGATGTCGCTTTCCATTATTATTGCTGTGTTTTGGCTTGTTTTGTTTCTGCAATGTTTGTTTAAGGCTATAATAACTTTTGGTCTGGGCTTATTACCCAGGGAAATATCTTTTAATTTTATTTTAATTAATTAATTAATTTTTATTTTATATTTATTAAGTTCGAAAAACATAATTTTTTCCAAAATAAAATTTGTAGAACGGTAATTTCCAATACAATTTCAATAAGTTTTTAACTGCGCATTTAGGCTTTTAATTAGTTAAAAAACTTTATTCTACAAAAGAATAATCTGTTTGTTAAAATTTATGAGTAAATCGTATTTAAAAGTGGGGTACTTTGGAATTCATGTTCTTAAGTTCTTTACTACATTCGATTTAACTTTTACCAAATTCATAACTTCAACACATTGCTTTCATAGTTTGTTTGCGTGTTTTCCGCTTAAACAGCTTAAACTATTTACATTTTGATTAAGCCACAAACTTTTGGGCAGAAAACTCCGAAATGGCGTTGAAGACAAGAAAATGTGTCAGGTCAAGCCATTTCCACTTCAGTGGTTATATCACGATGATCTAATAAAATCTCTTACCATCTGCATAAAAGCAAACTCATCTGCCCAGGCAATAGAGGTCAAGTTTAGTGCGAAAAAACACAAAAGTGGAAAGGCAAGGCAAAAATGAGAGTGCTAATGGGCCATAATTATAGCCACAAAAGACAACAAAATAAAAAGCAATTGAAGGGGTATACTTGGCTTAACCAAGAAAATCATTTTCTTCAGAGAAGGATTTTGGTTTTTTCTTTGTTTGTGGGAGGCAAAGAAAATGATGTAATAAGGAAAGCAAACACACGCACATATTGGCAGCCCGGAAAATTCTATCTAGACCGAAAATCAGCATGCAATGCCATCGATAAAGTAAACACAAACACAAACTGTCGATGTGAATGGAAAATGTGTGGAAAAACGTATGCGCAATTTTCTTATTGAGCAGATGCTCGAAGGCAAATAAGTGGGTCAGAAATTGTACCGAGTTATTTTTTCTTGACTCTTTACGTTTATATGTTCTGGTCTACTTACCATCAGTTCCTTGTGGGGCGTATTGGGATTACTACGCAATAATCCCTTGAGGAAAATCTCATCGTGGTCGGATAGGTCCGTCGAGTTGCGGTAGGCGGCTAAAACGAAAGGAAAGTGTTTTAGATAAACCACAGTCGTAAAATGGCAATCGGCTAAAGATGAAATGACAGTCGTTTTGTCAGCTTAGTGCACGCTTTTTTTAATTCAACAAAAAAGGGCGCAACAAGGATTTTAAAAAGGGATTATTGTTTACTAAGAGTATTACTTGTAAATTTATTATTAATGCTGACTTATTGCCCAAATAAAATTCTAAAAATAAAAATTATTTAATTGGTTTTTGTTTGTTATACCCGTTACTCGTAGAGTAAAAGGGTATATTAGATTCGTGCAAAAGTATGTAACAGCTAGAAGGAAGCGTTTCCGACCCCATAAAGTATATATATTCTTGATCAGGATCACTAGCCGAGTCGATCTAGCCATGTCCGTCTGTCCGTCTGTCTGTCCGTCTGTCTGTCTGTCTGTCTGTCTGTATGAACGCTGAGATCTCGGAAACTATAAAAGCTAGAAGATTGACATTTTGCATGCAGATTATAGGAGTTCCTACGCAGCGCAAGTTTGTTTCAAAAGGGTGCCACGCCCCCTCTAACGCCCACAATCGCTTGTATACGATTTTAAAAATTTCAATATTTTGGAAAAGTAAAAATGCAGTTTTATTGTGTTTACCAATACCTATCGAAATGTAGAAGAAATTTTTTAAATCGGACCATTCGTTAAAAAGTTACGGCGGATCAAAGTTTTTCTCCATCTCCTTCGCACTCCCTTTAGCTGAGTAACGGGTATCTGATAGTCGGGGCACCCGACTATAGCGTTCTCTCTTGTTTTCTAGTTAAATAGAGAAATATCTTCCAAACAGGTTTATTTTAAGGCAGTTGAGTTTCTCTAATCTCTGCCAGTCTAAGAGCAAACTTTTTGTTTTATTTATATTTTTATATAGCACGCTAAGGGATAATTGCAACTATATGGAACTACTTCCGAAAACTGTATAATATTGTTCTTATTTTTCATTTTATTTTAGAGAGTGAGAGATTATTATTATTTTTTGTTTTCCTCTGCATTGATTTTTTTCACAACTTTTTATATATTAAGAGTAATTTTAAAATTTAGTCAGAATTTCTGTTACTTTTTTAAAAATTATATTTTTAAGAAGAATTTTCTTCAGTGACCCCTCTTTTGAGGACTCCCTTGGCACGTACCGTTATCGGACGTATCGTCCTCGCCATTCACTTTGTTGTTGCTAGCCAAGAGCTCCACTTTATCCTGCCGAGCCTGACGTCGCGACCGCGCGCTCCACCGAACCATTTTGGGAGAACTGGGAGGTGGCCAAAACAAATCCCCCACAATGAAGTAACACCAAAGGAAGTCTCGAGTTTCGGGCCAAAAAAAGGGTCCCTACGTTTCGGCCATATGCTTAGCCACTTGAACACAACTTGTCTTCGAGTAATAATCACTTGTTGTTATTGTTATAAACACAAAGCCACGCAAACAACAAAAACAACCACGCGCGAGAAGAATTTACTCTTCCGCCAGCGAAAAAACAACCGACTTGTTTTCGAGAGAGAGTCCAACTAGCGTCAAAAAACCGCTTTTGTTGCATGCTGCCAAAATGAAAGCTCATCCAATTGGAGAAGCTTTTGCAGGTGGGACTTTAAAAGGTTTTCAAATAACTTTGTTATCGGCGCCATTTGTTGTCTGGTCACTTTACAAATTCTGCCAAAGTTATTCAGAAAATTCCCTAAGCTGTTAAATTGTTAAAAATTCAACAAAAAATTTCGGCAATTGAGGGATCTACCATAAATGGTTCCTTCGGAATTTTCAAACAGCTGTACATTATTGAAAAGTTTCACGAAACCTAAAACAAAAAACATTTTCTTTTTTATTATTATTTACTGTTTAAAATTGTTACCAAAGTAATAGGAACTACAAATATGCTTTCTGAATTGATTTTAAAGTAAATAATGCGTACTAGTAATACTGTTGACTGGCTAAAATTTGTGAAAGTTGACTTTGTATGGGACAGCTTATTAACAGCTGACCAAAATTCAACAGTTTAATGAATACCTAGACTATAAAGCTAGCTAATTTTATTTATTTTGCTTAAAAGCTTTTAAATCATCAAGGTTTTTTTTACACTTGAACATGTTTCTTTAGTGTTTTTGGAAATGGCAGAAATTGGAAATTTATGGAGCCTTTATAACCATTGCAATGCATTGTGCAAAGCTAGAACGTAAAATAAAATTTTACAAGGAAAAATCTACAATTTTAAATGGTGAGAAAAATAGCTTTATTTATTTTAGTTGTATTTACAAATGTAAATGAAAACTCTACAATATTAAACTGTTAGTCAAATCTATACATTCCTTTAAAATAAATTCGATAGCTATAAATAGCTAGATATATGGAAAACACAACACTGAGACTCAAAAATACCAAATATACTAAGAATACCAAAAATGCTGCTTCAACATATTTTGTTTCACAACATGTTGCTGGCAACATTGAAGAAAATCTATAAAAGCAACAGCACACAACGCAATCCGTAATTTTTCGAGCGAAAGAAAAAACGAGTAAAACACGGACAAACATCGGAAACCGATTAATCGCGCTAAATAACACGAAATGATATTTGGTTTACTAAAAAGCAAATGTTTATGTGAGGATGAATTAATGTAAACTTATCGTCCGGTCGATAATTTTGTTCTCAAATGACTGGCGGCGGAAATAACGATAGAGTCGCGCAACCACAATAAATCAGGCAGTAAAATCGGAGTCGTAATCTTGGGAAAAAAATCAAAGAGAAAAAGACGCCAGCAGCTTCCTCGGATTGTTTTGTTGTTGTTTTCGGTTCGTTAGTGTGTTTGTGTGTGTCTGATTTTCCAACAAAGTCAAAGTCGTCGAAGCTGCTGCAAAAAAACGTGAAATGCAAATTGTGAAAAAAAATTGCAAAAGATACAAGCAACTAGCAACAACAAAAACTGTAACCGCAATCACACGGCCAGCGCAACAATAACAGAGGCAACAACAAAACGGTTTCGCGTGTGTTGAAAAATTGCATTGCAAATTGCCCAGAAGCAACAACAAAAACAATAACAACACCAAATTGCGCGCCAAAAGCGAAAGAAACAAAAGGATTACACATAAACAAACCGAAAAAGCAGAAGCAGCTGAGCGAAAGAGAGAGATAGCGAAAAATCAAAACATCGTCGAGAGGCAGAAATTCCAGTTTATCCACCTTCACCTCCATCTCCATCGCCACCACCCCCAACCCTCCGACGGGACTTCACCACACTTTTGAGCAGGCTCTTGTGGCATTCGTGGTGAGTTTACATGTCTTTCGGTATTTCGCTTCATCTTTTTTTTCGCATGTTTGTCCTCCGTCCGCTTTGCCGAATGTCCTGCTAAATAAAAAACATTTGGCAAAAGTGCAAAAGTCAAGGCCCCCGTTCAATGGCTCCGCTTTTGATTTGCGCCTCTTTGACCTTTGTGCAAAAGTAACCCGCAAATGTGCACAAAATTTAGCTCAACCATCGAGAGTCCTTGATTTTTGAGGCACAGTGGTTGTCATGGGTCAAAGAATTGCAATCCCTGAAAAATACCAAAATTTATGGTTTATGTTTGATATTAATAACACCATGCAAAAGTTCATAAAAAACATTATTTGATTCACCGAAACTCAAATGCATTTAAAATAATTTATTTATTCATAGAACTTATGAATATCAAAACCCCTTTTTTAAACAACCCCCTTGATTACTATTTGCAATCCCTGGTGAATTGAGCAATTGAAATATATTTTTATCCGTGGTGTAATATGTGATTTGAAATGTGCACAATAAAACAAAGGGTAACACAAAGCTGATTAATGCACTGTGACGAAATGGGGAAAAAACTGGCGATTCGAATAATATGCGCAAATGTCGAATGTAGTCAGGTAGAAAAGAGCCAGATTCCGATTGCCAACAACCCTGAACAAGATTACGTGCCTTCTTTCCTGTCACGGGAATTGGGCAGCATCGAGTTACCTTGAGAATCGAGAACCCAAAACCGATAGTGTGTGGCGAATTCAGGAATGCGATTTGAGCATTTGGACCTGAACCGGGCTCACAAACCGGCTTGATGGCGTAATCCCAAAACCGGATTGGTTACCGTAGATCCTTGTTTTCTAATAATCTTTGTTCTTTAACGCTATAAACCGGATATAACATATTAAGTGACTACTGAACAGAACTCTAGACTCCTGTAACTTAATGATCCGTAACAGGGGTTATTTCACGGTCTTCTATGAATATTTTACAATGAAAAATATTGTTTTTCAAAACATTGTCCTGACGTGTTATATTTATTTTATCCCAATTATACCGAAGGTCATAAGACTTTTTATAAATACGAATACAAATTCCTTTTCAAAACATTCGTGGTCGTTATTTGCTTTGCTTTTTTGCATTGTTTACTTTTGTTTCAAAAAACCAGTTTGGTTTGGTATTTTTAAGAAATGCAAACCAGATTCTTAGCTATCTCGAATCACATTAATATGTATTATCTTTGCATTGTCCAATCATCTTCGGACGTGCTGCCATAAATTCCCAGCCTAATTACCCACCCATTTTCGCACTTATCCCATTATCTTCATTTCACACCACTGTGTCATTGGTGACGAGACCAAAAGACAAAATAACAATGACCGCCTGGGAACGGAAAAAAGCTGATAAGCAAACACTTTATGTCAGTTCGAGACATAAGTAAAGCCAAGCCCGAAAAACCAATAAAGTGGCATACAAAATCGGGGGCAATTACGATTAGAGCCCGGTTTAAGTCCACTGTGCCACGACCTCGCGGCATCTGCGTCTGCGTCTGTCCCGGTAATCAAACGTCTAGACACATTCCGTCCGTCGGCTGCAGCTTCTTTAGGCACCAACAACGACCACCCCTTCCAGCCTGCACTCGGGGCAAGTTCCTAACCACCGACCTCCCTACCAACTGGTAAAAAAGGGATCCCTACCTACAGTAGAACTTCTCATAGTTGAACTTGGGACTGAAGAAAATTGAAATTTTAAAGGTTATTTAAACTAATACCTTTAGATCTAACTTATCATTGCATTCCAGATAGCCACTTTTGTATTAAATACAAAATATAATAATATTTTAAAACACAAATAATAAAAGTCCAATTTTAAAAACGGTATTTCCAAAATTTGAATATAATTTCTAAAGTTATTATTTTCTGAATCAGGATCTCAAAAAGTTTTGCCTCAGTCATTTAGTCATGAGTTATTCATTCGAAATTAAATAAATTCCCAATTTAACTTAGGGAATTTCCCCTGTATCGGGACGTATACAAACAAACAGTAGACACCGAAAACACACTCGTACATAATCCCGTTTTATTGCACGGCTCGTGAGGCTGGAGATAGAAAGAGATGCAGAATAAATAAGAGACATGGAGAGGTCCTTATTTCGTTTTTTCCCATTTTAACTCCCCTGGGAACTGGGACCCGAGAAGTCGGGAACTCGAGAACTCTAGAACCCGGGAATCAAGAACGGCAAACACTCCACTCAACTCGCGCTCAATCATTATGAAAATAGCTCGGAATGCTCGTAAATTACAAAACCATGGTTTTATTTGTCAAAATTTGAAACTTATTTGAACAGGCGCCGAGGAACTTCAGCAGCAGGCAGCGTATTTGGTCGAATCGGGTTTTATTTGTGGGTTTCTCTCGTTCTTTTTCGGTTTTGTTTTGTTCATATCGTTTCGTTGTGTTCGTGATTAGCATGTCCAAGGGTACTGTCTCACTCACTCGCGTGGGGAGAATGGTGAGTGGATCCCAGGCCCTTGTGGACCCCTTTTTCCGTCCCGCTCTCTCATTTCCTCAGTGGCTATACATAAATATACTTATATGTTTAAATTACACATATGTACATGAGTACATATGGGGCTTCATATTTCACTTGATTTTTATCTATGAATTTCTAATTACTGGTTATTTTGTTGTCCTCTTTGCATTATTAACCCTCGTCCTCATCACATGGTTGCCCATTTGGGTTGGGTTAATGATTGATAAATTGTCACTGATGAGCTCAGACACCTAACCAAAACAAAAAATATTAACCGCGATTGCAAGCTATTAATCTTGGCTTGATTGATGGACCATCTAAAGCCCCTGACACATCAAAATTTTCAAATGAAGTGAGCCATTTCGGAGGATTCGCCAGTTTCAGCAGATGTTGAATATTTAAAATCTGCACAGATGCTCTTTAAGAATTTTATAATTCTGCTTATAATACCATTTAACTGATTAAGCTTATTTTATGTACTCACATACATAATAAAATTAAATTCATGGCCATGCACAATGACTGAAAAAAACGAGCTCTATATTTATCGCCATTGTAGCGGATAATTCTTTTTTGCGCTTTACATTTGTTTGCTCAAATTACGATTAGGTCAACTACATAGCATAACATGCATGTAAAAGCCAATTGAAAGCTCATTCCCATTTCTGGTTATTCGCTTCCCATTTGGATTAGATTTGCAAAAAAAAGGCAATACAAAAAAGTA